ACGTATTGCTATCCAGATCGTACTCTGAAGCCCACGCTGGATGTCCATTCACAGTAGCATTATTCTTTTCTATGTCTCATGTCAGCTTGGCGCCCAGCCAATAAGATTGATTGCAGCAGGGGCATGAAACTGACCAGTCTTATCAACGATATACACCTTGTTCATCGTCCCCAGGAAGAGCTGCTGCGCGGAAACACCCGAGAGACCAACATACTTGAAGGTATTTGGTGCTTGAGCCTCGGCATGAAGTGCCAGAGCAGCGAGGCTGAGAACATGTAGGATCGTCGCTCGAGAATGCATCCTTCGTTACGTTCCTCGACAGTATATCGATCGCGGATCGTTGAATAGCAGACAGCTGAGCGATTTCCAAGATCGTTCGGATGAGTCCACCCGGAGCTTAGAGTAACGTATCGATCGTGACTAGACGTTATAGTCCTCCCGCCCAACTTCCGATTGTCCTAGACAGGTTACCTTGTACAATTTTGGGTAATGATGTTCGAATCATTACCCAAAATTGTACATGTCACTGGAAAAAGGCGGTGTTCGAAACGCGTCTGAGCCTGATAATTCATCACATTACATCCGCTTACAGTTGTCAGGAATCAGGCTCGCCAGATCTCGTGTCTTAATTGCTTCCGTATTCCTATTGTGCGCTAAAAAGTGAAACCCGCCGAGGGAGTATGACGTCATTTTTGCCTCCGCATTCGGGAACTCACGCAAAAAGTCGAAAAGTTGCAAAGGGTATATAACACGCCTGAACGCCATTATTCCCATCTTTCATTCAACCACTTCAAGCTCTAGAGTACCATTCTAGCCATCGAGCTCACTACCTTCTTCTTGACTCTCACAAGCACTCCGCACTGTCCTCTTTGTCACTTTACATCCTCCTCTCGAGAAATCTAGAGACCTGAAACTCTATCTCTCAACGCAATGGTTTCACTTCGAATTTCGGACAACGCAGTTCGAATCACCCATTCTGTCCTCTTTGGAATCACGCTTTTGATCTCCATCATCGCTCTTGGTTTTTCAGGAAGCTTGGTCGGGCACTACAACGTAAGTTTGTATAACCTCTTTCTCAGCGTAGATTTGACTGTTTGTTTTTTTAGAGCGATGGGTATCCCAAGGAACACACTGGAGCGTACCGGGATCGAATTCGAATCCTGCTTGTCGCAAGTGTTTGGACAACTGCCTTTGCCAGTGAGTATCTCAGCTTTCTATCGTCGTGATGAGCCTTTGTGACATCATCGCTCTTCCCTTCCTTTCGATTCGCCACTCTTTTTCTGTTTGTGTTTTTTGTCTCCAGAATCCTCTATCTCCAGTTTCAAGCATGTACTCTTTTCTTTTGTCTTTCAGCTAACCCCATCCAGTCATCCTCGTCATCGGCTTCCAGCTCTTAGGCCGACATCGGGCATTCGGACTCTTAAGCCATCTCGTCACGATCACAATTGGCTTCATCCTCTTCCTTGTTGGTTCAGCATCACTCACTGCTCTTACCGACAAGATTTCATGCGGAGTGAAAAGCCAGGGCTTCAGCCGATGTAATATCGTCAAAGGTCTCGTCGTTATCAGTTGGATAGATACGTGAGTTGTTTATTTACTTTACTACTCTCTCCCTCAATCTTTCCACTCGCCTCTTATGTCTTGTCGATGCTCTTCGTCTCTCTCTACCCTTTTAGTTTCATTTCCACCGTCAAATCAACATGTGTGTAGGAGAAGACACTGACGATTGATTCATAACAGGATCTTCTTACTCCTCTGTCTGATATTCTTGATCGTTTTGACGCTCGCCGACCGAGGAGCGTATGGTGTGCACAGGAGGACTTTGTATGTTGAATAGATGAGTGAGAAGGAGTTCTTTCCAAGGAGCGCCATCGTTATTGGTCATGGAAGGAACTAGAATATACCGTGTTTACAGTGCATATAGCTTTATAATACGTTCATAGTGTGTACCATGTCAACATCACATTCACATATACTTCGGAGACATTCCTTCTTGTCCATGAGGAGGTGATTTCGCACCTGATACATTTTCTAAGCACGTCCTCAAGTAGACTAACTTCATATTACAGCCCTACCGTATGATCTTTGTCGTCTAAGAGCGGACTGAGATGACGTCGCTAAATAGTAGCAAGCAAGGTATGATGAAAATCAAAAATGCCCGTCCCGTCCCTTCATGCGAAACAGATGGTAGCTACAATACAGTATATAAAAGTCCAATCTTTCTATGCGATGCAAAATGTCCAATGTCCAGTATTTGTATTTCGAAACGTTTCCTCATTTGCCCCTCCCCCCCTCTTTCAACAACTCATCTACGATCTCCACTGGCTCTTCTGCTTTCAGCTTCCCACTCTGGTCGATACATAGGTGGTAGATCTTCTACTTCTTCTCCTCTTTCTGACATTGACTGTGGAATGTCAATCCGACCAGCGTCGTCATGATATCTGAATCCTCCCGCTGGAGCTTCTTGTGGTGGTACTCTTGAGCCAAATGATGTTGGATTTGGTGAAATGGTTGTTGATGGTGTTGTCGTTGTAGTAGTGCTGTTATTATCGGGATTACGTGTGGAGAGAGCAGCAACCAATTGAGCTTTTGTTGAACTTGATCTAGACCCTGATGATTGCGTTTGTGTTTGTGATTGTGTTTGTGGTCGTGGTTGTGGTTGTCGTTCAGATACAAGTGGTGCTGTAAAGCTATTTGAAGCTAGAGAAGGTGAAGTATCTGAAAGACCTGGTGATATGGACTGAAGAGAACCGAAAGAGTCGGTACGTATATGTGGAAGTTGAGGAGGACCAAGATCGCTATAAGAGCTATAACGTAAATCCGTAGTTGATGAAGGATCCCAAAAAGGAGAAATCGAACTTTCAACTCCATATCCACTACTTCGTGTACCGCTGTATCGTCTATCCGTATTATCGGTGATCGGTGTAGTTTCTGCAAACGAACCAGAGTCTGGAGAATCCATATGTTGGTGTCGGGGATTTGGAGCTTCAAGAAGATCCACGTCGCCAGCTTTAACCCCGTGTTCACGCATCTCTCGTCGATGTGAAAGTAGAGCTTTGACTTGTCTTCGACAGCAAAACCAGAAGATCAAAGCTTGCGTAACGATAACGACCACGACGGCAGCAATTGCAATACCAGCGATAGCACCAGTCGACAAGCTAAGTAATCAGCTCTTATTCTGCTTATATACAAAGAAACAACGAGGGGTAAACATACCCTGCAGCACCGGCTGGAAGAGCAGTAGCAATAGCCGTAACAGTCTTCACGCTCCCACCTCCACTACTAACCCCGCTAGTCTTGGTGGCGACGCCAGAGGCCGTATGAGTTGGTGACCCAGTAGCAGAGTTGATAGGGGTGGAGCTCGGCGAAGCATCGTCAATGCACACCGAGTTTCCGGATGAGCCGACTTTGTATAGAGGACTAGATCCTCCATTGCCATATCGTCCTTCGTCAAAAGCTGCTAAGATGAATTGGGTGGATGCGGCGATATTGGTATCCCATACTACGCAATGTTAGTATGTTTACATTTTTTGGGTAGGATACATACCAAGCGATGTTCCTCCTCCATTTGACCAAAGCTGGAAGATCTGTCCTCCGGGGATAACACCAAGGATGGTAACTGGGGCAGTAGCCGTATTGTCCCAATATATCTCGACTGCACCACATTGCTATTGCAGTCAGCTTTGTTGCGGACAATAGACAAGGCACCGTACATTCAAGGAGGTCTCGTTGAGATAGAAGCTGACTCGCGTTAGGGAACATCTTATTGCTGAGTGAGGCGTTTGGGTGCTCACAGAAAGTCAGTCTGGGTGGATCGCAAGCTGCATGCTGAAGCGTTCGACGAGCTCTGCACAGTTGCAAGGGTTGAGACTCCGCCACCCTGTAGTTTGGGGTAAGCTGCGCACACTACGTATGGAAGAGGTACTCGCGCCTGTTCCAGATGAATCGGACATCAACGCGACAAATTGTGTCCCGGAGGGATCTACCCATCAGCACAGTCTTCTGTATCGGATCGCGGAAGCAGCTCACAATTGACAGTCCAGTCATATGATCCCGAATTAGATTCGGCATCCCATGCCGTGTCAGGAATGGTAATGTTCGACGGATAATCGAATGCGGGCTTGCAAAAAATGAGCATTCTTGGAGGGAAGGAGGGGAATATTGTTACTGACCATGATCATCATTGAGAAAGGAGGTGAACCTCCCTGCCATGCTACATTGACTACACCACATTGTCCTGGTTTCTCACTGGATAGGGTGAATGAGAATGGGTAGACAAGTGGGAGGAAACAAATCGCGACTATGGCCGACAACAGCATGGTGGTGAACGTACAACGTCGAAACGATCACGCAAGTATCTCGTAGCGAGTTGATTGCGGAAGCGGGTGAATGTTCAGAGGATGATTTTTATCGGTTTCCGGGAAAAGAGTGACGTCGCCTATATTTGGTTATAATAAAGGGCTAAGTACCAGTACGGGTACGCGTGATCGAGCTATAAATGTTGTTTGTTGTTGATTATACGAAACGAATACACAAGACATGGAAGAATTTACGCTGGATGGAAGGAAAATAAGTTGACGACCAAAAACCCGACCAAAGGACCAAGTTTTGATGGAAAATGATCTCACGCACACAAAACCGGATGTTCTTTATGAAAGGAAGCCAAAAGGAACCAAAAAAAAGAAACACAGCTTTCCTTCCCTTTTTGACTATGTAACGCGTCTTCAGGAACAGACTAAAACCCCATAATGTGAAACAAGGTAGACCGAGCAGAGGACACCCGTTCTTGTTGTGTTGAAATGGCGGGTCAAAACAACTTGGCTGAACGTACAGCTGCTAAACACTCATCAAATAGGAAAAGTTAAGGATGCGGGAGTAGAGGAACAGACACGAGTCATAGGAAGCCAGCAAGCTGGTAAGCGGGTTTCAGGATATGCTTGAGGTTTATCAGGAAAAACATAATATATAATCTCATCCAGATATCGCAAACAATACAACTAACACCGTTGGTGAAACGGTATCATGCGTCGTTGCCACTTTCGTAAATTCGACGCGGCAAGGGTTCGACTCCCTTACGGTGTATATTCTTTTGCTTTGCGCATGTTTTTGCCCTATTGTCGTGTTATTTGTATGCATCACCTCCGTGTACAGCTGCCTAGTCGTCTTTTTAGTATCCATTACCTCTGTGTACAGCTGCAATGATCTCAGACAGGCCTGCGAGTGAATGCTTTTATGGTCAGACGATGCGATCCTCCGTCATGTCCGACTAGAAACATCTCATTTTGTCTGTTCCGATCAAGTACGGCTTGTGGGATTATTGTAAATCCCAACATGCCAACGAGACCCTTCGCGGAGCTTGTTTGTGCGGTTAATCGTGGTAGGCAAGTGGAAAGAGGAAGCGGTAGTAGCTGTATAAAATATGTCATGAAGACCATGTCGACTCTGAGGAGCAGTAGGGGACATGTCCAGATTCCTTAATAGCATCGACTATTGCGCGGAATCCCTGACCAGTTGCTTCGATGGTTTCTTCGTCATGGGATGCTGTCTCGAAGCCTCTGTGTCCCTTCTTTCAATCTTGAACGTCTCACCTCAATCTTGAAAATCCGACGTGGCTTGGGCGATGGATTCGGCCTTGTCTTGAGTTACAAGACTGGTACACGATGATTGGACACCCGATACGAGCTTATACGAATGTCAGATACGAACGAATCTCAAGTAGCAAGGGACACATGAATGTTCCAACCTGATGTAACAGAGAGACTCCGAGTCTTCAGTGTTATCGGTAGGAAATCAATAGGATAGATAGACCCAGGCGCGCGCCCAGTGAAGAAAATACGGCTTTTAATCATACACTGTATTCTTCTATAGGGAGGTACCATCTCATGCTGCACCTCGTTGGATAACTCATTGTAGACTGAGACAGGCTAGTCGTGATTCCAGGTATGATTTGCCACTGATGAAGCCTAGTAGCATAAGGTCACACACAACTCACTGATGCAAAGTCTAGAACATTTATTATTACTCGAAGGCTCTGACAAGTAGGGACATCAAGCACGCTATACCTACAACGGCTGATCATATCGGTGTTCTGCCGCCCTAGTAGAACCCGAAAATGATTTTGCACAGATGACCACACGGACCATCGCCCAAATATACTCAAAGCAATTTCCGCCGGAATCCGAAAAGCATGACTTAGAACGCGTCTGAATCTTTCTTATTTGCGTCTTCGTACTCTACATAGATGATCATTCGATTCTGATGGATGCGACAGAACAAAGACAACGTTCTCAATCTCACACAGTAGTTCCTTCAGATGGTACGTGTCTCGCTCATTCAACATTTCTCTTCTCCGTTGAATCCAGGTCAATGATGATGGATGCCTAGCAGAACGTCCAGAGCTAGGCCATCTCGCAACATGGTCTGTCTCGAGCCACAAGTATGGATTCGGGGTGGACAATCTACGTGATGGGAATGATAATACATTCTGGCAGTACGTGCTTCCTCATTTCCTTGTCATTGGTCATCGGTTCACAAATGATGAATAGATCAGAAGGACCACAACCTCATACTATCGAGTTATCATTCCCTAAACGAGTCTTCATTTCCGTACGTCCAATATCACATGCAATCTAACTTCCATCTGTTTTTTTTTTGTTGATTCGTGAGAACTGAGCTGGATACAGGCCATTTCATTACATACTAATCATCCGCGAGACGATTCATATACACCTTCAAAAATATCTATTCGAGCAGGAACTAGTGTACATGATTTACAAGAGGTTGGTCTCCCTTTACCCATGATCAACACGATCTCATCAACATCGCAAAGAATAGAATCGTTGACGTAGAATATATTAGGTGAGATTCGTCGAGTTTTCAAAACCAGACGGATGGATGCATATCCCTTTACGACCTATGGATACTACAGAAGAAGGCGGTATGATGGAAGGGTAACTAACTATCTTTCTATCTTCCGCTGTTTTATGGATTCAAAGAAAGGGGCTGATGAGATACTTCTAAAGTCCACCAATACCGGCACATCACTTGCGGATTCTCATACTAGCCAATCATCTGAATGGGAAAGATACACATGTTAGAGGTCTTCGGATATTCGGTACAGCAGTGTAGGTTCATCACATCCAACTTTTCTCTCTTCCCTCTCTGCTATGAATCGAGTTGACGATAGAGTAGTAAGCAAACCACCAGTTCCGTCTCTCCAGATGAGAGTGATATAGATGTCGAGTCAGAGGCAGCGTCGCCGAGAAAGAGCTTGCCAGGAAAGAAGTTATTAAAGCTAGGACATGATGGGCTGAGCGGATTTACAAGTCAACAATTCAAGATGCACGAGTTTATTCGGTGATGCTTGTACCACGATAACGACAAGGCAGGTCGGTCAGTCACCTTGCTGCTGAGAAGATGATGGCAGAAACGGAGGGATAACGCTGTTATGTATATGCCAAATGATAATATTGATGAACATATGACGAAAAACTGCTCAGACATGCACTATAAATACACTTGGATTACTACTTCTTCCCTGCTCCCTTTCTCCTGATAATACCATCCACCATTCACACCAACACCACCATGTCGATCAACTTCCAGAAGTCTTAGATGTACTAAATCTTCCTCCGATTGTCCTCTTACTACCATCTCCTGCCTTTTGTACGTCCCATACTCTCTCCTGTCTGGGCGCACCAGAAATTAATCTATCCAATTCACTTCCTAAGCCACCTTTGGACAGATCTTTCCCATCGGCAGTCGATTTGGAGAATCCTACAGCTTCAGAGAGAGTTGGGGATGAGCCAATATCCGATATATCGTCAAAATGATCCCCATGTAAATCCCATGTACGTGATTGTCTAGGTGCAGAGGTGATTAAAGCGTCAAGGGAAGAAGAGAAGGAAGTGACAGTGACTGAAACTGAGACTGAAGTGGAAGAAGTAGGCGTCGATTTGATTGATGTGTCGGAGGATTTAGGATAATGATGTGACGATTTAGCTTGTGGACGTTGGCGTAGGAGACCTTTCCATTGTTCCTTTTGTATGTCCCATGTCCGATCTTCTCGAGGAGCAGCCGAGATAAGTTGCGACATCATCGAGCTTAGTCCTGGAGTCGGGATCGTTGGAGCAGATACTGTATTTGAGGACGGAGTCGAGTCAGAGTTGGATGGCTCTCTTGAAGTAGTCTGCTGTTGTTCTTCCTCAGGATGTAGATGATCGCCTTGGAGATCCCAATATCGCGATTGACGAGGAGCAGCTTTGATGAGCTCCGACATAGACGATGTACTAGAAGATCTAGCAGGGGTCGAACTAGACTGCCGAGGTAAAGGAGCCACTGGACGAGGTGTGACGGCGGACTCAACACCGTCCTCGTCCTCATCGATGTGCCGTGAAGAAGTGCTATACCGTGCTCGACCATCAGGTGTAAAGTCTCCTTTGGCAAATCGCGCAAAAGCAGCTGATAGTCGTGAACGCCGAGGCCAAGAGGTCGGAGCTGTGCCGTCGGCAGAGTAAATATCCTCAACACTCCTGACAGAGCCTTCCTTATCACCACCGACCATGTCCTTCCGAGACGGTGTGTGTGGATCCGGCGAAATTGATGTGCTCGATGCTTCAAGCTCTTGCATTAGTTGCCTATGTTGTTCCTCACGATGCTTGCGCAGCTTCGTGATTCCCGCCTCCCTTTGCGCTCGTCTGCCTTTTGCTCGTCGTGCAGCCTTCTCCGCACGCAATCTGTCCTCTTCGACCGCTAGGCGTTTCTCCCGAATATCAAGACGGCGTTCCTCTAATGCCAATTGCCTTGAGCTAAGGTAAGCTGGTGGTTGTCGCAGTATCTGACGCATCACATTTGCATTCGCCTGATCCACTTTCGACCTCGACTCCTTGAATGATTCCCGTCGTGGATCTCGGAACTGCGAGGCAAAACGTACCATGTCGATAATCATGAGGTGCTGAGGTGTATCTACGTTGAGTCGCTTGCCAAGCTCTACAATGTATCCGTTGATATTCGCAATCTCGGTTTCTCGACCTTTAGTAACGTCGGCAGCCATGGATGAGATATTGGCAGACGTACTTCGGCAGAGAGCAATCGCACGGGCCTTGAGAGCTTGGCTAGAAAAGAGTCGAAGAATATCGGGAGCAGGCGCTAGGGGTGCTGAGAGAGAGTGTAAGTACGCAGAGATGACAGCGCTAGTCTCCTCGGCCAATAGCTGCATCGAGTTGACAGAGCTACTCGAGGCAAGGAGACCTCCATTTGGCATGACACCACCGCCGAGAACCGCTGTCAAGGGATTGATGATTGAATTGAGAGCGAGTTTGAGGAGAAGCTGATGGTGTAGATGTGGCATGGGAAGCAATGCGGGCGTGAGGGCGGACAAGGACAGGAGAGCCGTGAGGGTGTGGTAGAGCGGTTCGACATCTGTGTCGGTATATGATGGGATCGGGAGTGGTAGTATTGGTGAAGGTGGTGGAGCAAGAATTGGCAAGGACGAGACCGGCTCATTCCATAGCCACTTCTCAACATCGAGCTGTTTTCTAGGATCTGGCACGACCCCCCATTTGATCTCTCCTTCGCCGGGATTGGATCGATAAAGTACATGGTTTGGCCTGAATCCTCTTGATACTCCATGCGTCGTTGTTCCGATGATAAATTGTGGTCGAGTGATAGGATCAGGCCACAGTTCAGAACAGAGTTCATCGTACACTCCCATTCCATTCTGTAAGAGCGAGATGACCGATGAAGGCCCGAGGCGGGGTTTGAGTCCAGACAGCGCTTGCAATGTCTGATTCGTCTTGAGCGTGACGATGAGGGACCGGATCGGACCGTACGGAGGGGGGTTGAGAGGATCCTCTGAATCGTGTGGCAAGATTTCGTCCTCTGGTGGTGGACCGCGAACATCCTCGGAATCGAAGTTGGTGGAAATGGATGAGGTTCCCTCTTGATCGACTCGAAGTTCAAAGGGCAGTAATGGACGAGACGCCGTATCCGAGGAGGCAGAGGAATCAGGGATACGGGACTGCTGGAATTTTGCTGCATTGCGAAATATCAGTGTGATGGGATTGGTGGGAAGCGCTCGGCGC